GTGCAGATTTTTGGTCAACTTCATAGAATAAACTGATTTGACTCAGGTATTTCTAGGAGGTGTAACCTATATGGTTGGAAAGATATACGAGTTAGGGTTCTAACAAAAATAACGGTGCACAATTCGGACTTTCCAATAAAGAGTTATGATGAAATTAGCGAAAGGTAGTCTGCCGGACAGATTTTTGGACAGTGTAGACACTACTTCGTAATATGGACATAACTCCTTCCTCCTAGTTCCGATTGAGATGATTCAAGGTGATATGGAATCCTAAGAGAGAGATCTACAAATTTCATGTTTTAAGTTTTGAGAGATATGGACTGCATCAAGGTCGAAATCGAGCTTGATGTTACAGCCAGTGCACTGTTCATCCCTTTTTCATTCTACCAAATTCAAACACACATCACTACACATATCCCCATTTTTACAACAATTATTTACTATATATCTATATACATATATAAAAGAAAATACGGGGTGTTACAATTGTAATGCTAGGGATATAAGGAAACATACTCTCATATTCAAACCAAATCTTGTAAAAAAAAAATAAGAACTAAATTTTCTGGTAGAATTGTTGGGATACTTGATGATGAATAGATGTTATTTTTTTCCCAATAGACTTTTAAAAAACATTGATCTTCCTCTTTTCTTTGTTAACAGTAGAAAACTATAGATTCATAATAAAATTAGTCTTATGATTAATATGATATTGATGTTTTCTTTATATTTAATAAACAGTTTCGCTAAGTATTCACTTGAGGTTAGGATGTTTATGGCTAAAGAAAAGAAAATGTTACAATATACAGATTTTGTGAGTGTACTACTCTACATTAACTGGAAAACTTAGATATGCACGTGTCAACAAAACGAAAATCAAATAAAAAAGAAAATCCTAATTTTAAGAGCAGAGAGAAGAGGACGTGTTCCATTGGGTCTAGGAAACACGAGAAATTATTCATTACAACGGTAATATCATATAACAATATTGATGTAGTATTATCAATCAATAATATCAAAACAAATAAATAAATAAATCTTACTAAAATTAATAACCAACTCTTCATGTAAGTAAATAACTACTCACTCTTCTTCTATATAAGCAAATAACTAGTTTAGTGTAATTCACCTTATCCACTTAGTTGTTGTATTCAATATTTGCTACTTGCTAGTTTTCTAAGGCAAGAACATTAAACTACAAGTAAAAAAGCTCGACAACACAAGAAAAAAGCTCTAATACACCTAATACCCGGAACACTACTTGGAGGTCAAAGCAGACTTACAGGGAAAATTGTTTTGGCAGACCATTGTCTCTCTCTCTCCCTCTCTCTCTCTCTCTCTCTCACACACACACACACAGACACACAATCACTCACTCACTCGCTCAATCACACTCACACAACACACACATACACCGAAGAGCATAAATATATCAATAGCCCAGAAATATACCTGCTTATCCAAAGAAAATGAACAGAACTGATCGCCCCACATGCATGGGGGGAAGTTTGCCATTGGGCGAACAATTTCAGGCTGATTAGCCACTGGCTTACTAACGTCAGAAGCAGCCATTCTGAGCTGCAGGATAGGTAACTTGTGATGGGAATTAATGCCACATCAGGGAGCATTTATAGAAGAACTGAAGAAGTGAGCATAGCTAAAGCAAGCAAGTAGACAAGACATTATTAGTAAATATATGATAATGACATAATCTATTAACGTTGTTGTGATTTTAACTTTTATATTTTTTTGTCGGGAAGTTATCACACACTTTATGTCTACAAATTCAATAAAAAATTTTAAGTCACGATAACATTATTCATAATATAATCTTTTCAACAGCACAAACATGAGGGTTTTTTAGTAAGTAAACTAAGAAATAAATAATTATCAGCCGGTACTTGAGTAATATAATATAAAATTAATACTCTTGATATATAATTTGAGGAAATAATGCAATATGGTCATTATATTGATATTTATTTATCTATTTTTTTTAATACTAAGACTCACTGATAATTTAATACTCACAATCATTATGTGCATAAATTATATCAAATATAATTATGTATATAGCACTATAGAGAGCAGATGTAAGAAATAAATGGGCACTAAGTTACTCAATCTGAGCTCCTAGGCCCTTAGGATTTGGACTAGGGAAAGGGGTTTAACACAAAAAGTTCATAGTGGTGTTCACCAGCTCGAGAGTTCGACTAATCCAATTTTAAAAGAGTCTCTTACTCTTCTTGAAGTTTGTATTAATGAAGAAATGATATTACATATAGTGGTTCTAATTAAAAGTGTTTGTTTGTCCATTGCCGAGGATTATACCCTTTTATTTATAGTTGATTTTGAGCCTTGCATGACCTTTGGCGAGATTTTTGCTCCTCCTTGTAACGATTGCTACTATTTCGCAATGGTTATAAAGGATATTGTGGAAGTTGCAATTCTTTTGCCTCGATATGCAACCGTTACTATTTGAGTAGTGCTTGAGCAGAGGTCAACTCTCTTCTACGCTACCCTTTTTAAGACATGATTGCAGGAATGGGAGATCTGACCTCGAGCTTCACAGACATCCAAAGTGAGCTGGGCTCCCGATTTAGAAAAGCACGAGCTAAAATACCGTGCTCATCCTTTAATATTTTTAAAATATCATCCACACACATTGCTCATAATAATATAAAGCCCAAAAGAATTGAATAAGATCTGTTGGTTATTGGAGCAAGTAAATAAGCTTGATACTTCCAGTGATGTGACACTCCACGAGAAAAGGTAATAATATTCTCACCTAATTTAATGCACTAACTTATTAGCCTAATTTATAGTCCCAAAGGACCTCAGTAAGATGGTTATATTATAACAAAAATTATTTTTTGTGACGATTTTTTTTATCGTTAAATTAAAAATATTCATAGTCAATTATTTTTTGTGACGTTATTTTTTTCATCGCGTGTTTGTTGCAATAATCTTGTCGCAGAAAATATTTTACAACGCAATATTATTTTTATCGCAAAAAAAAAATTTTGCGATGAAAAAAAACTTCACCAAAATTTTAAAAAACGTAACTTCCACCAGAGTAAAAAAATAAAAATTAATAATTAAATTAATTTTTCACGACGCAAAACAAATCGTTGCAAATAAATTTTTAAATAAAAATATATATAAAATAATAATTTAATTAATTTTTCGCGACTTAAAAAAATAATCACAAATAAATTTTTACATAAATAAAAAATATAAAAAATAATAATTTAATTAATTTTTTGCAACGTAAAAAAAATCGTCACAAATAAGTTCTTACATAAATAAAAAATATTAAAAAATAATAATTTAATTAATTTTTAACGACGTCACAAATAAGTTCTTACATAAATAAAAAATATTAAAAAATAATAATTTAATTAATTTTTAACGACGTAAAAAAAATCGTCGCAAAGAAATTTTTACATAAATAAAAAATATAAAAATTAATAATTTAATTAATTTTTTGTGATGTACAAAAAATCGTGGTAAATAATTTTTTACATAACTAAAAAATATAAAAAATAATTGAATAAATACATTTGCGACGTATAAAAAATATCGCAAAAAAGATGATTCTTCACTTTTTTGCGACAATTTTAGTTTCGTTGCAAAAAAGTTCATTTTTTAAAAAAATAACCTTGCCTAAAAAATGGTACTCTAATAAAATTTTTCATCTGTTCATTTATATTACATGTGTTGAATAAAAAACTAACACAATTAAAACATTTCACATTTTTTCCATTCAACAACCAACACAAACTAACATCAAATATCATACTAATAAAAATATAAAATATAATACACTTAATAAAAGTTATACAAATCATCAATAAGATTCTTTACTTTTTGACTCTTTAAGCAGTAGTTTACAAGACTCTTTAGTTTTTGACTGTAGCGGTCATTACAAATGCAAATGATAGGAATTTTAGAGATCTTGATGCTAGCAATGAGATCAGCCACTCCCCCTCTATCTCCAGCAGACAGGCCATCAACTTCATCCATAATCAGCAGTCTTTGGATGCTTTGAACTGGAATTATAGTCAACAATTAAGCAGGATTCTTATAAGGAACTTCTTGATGACTAATCCATATTAACGCTCAGAGCTTCATTATTAACAAGTTCCTTTATAGAATTTGATGTACTTCCACCTATTCCTTTCTCGACTTTGGCATCATCCTGTCCACCGTTGTCACTAGCATTTACCTAAACAAATTAAATAGGAAGTAAGATATATAGCCAAGGAATACAAAAGAAAATTGACATAGTCTAGTCCAGTATTAATCAGGAAAATGATCTACCTCGATTGCCTGAAAACCAAGTATCTGACTAACCAACTTGGCTGATGTAGCCTTCCCAATACCAGGTGTACCATTCAATAGAACAGCTTGCTTAGCAGCATAAGCTTCTTATCTTTTCCTAAACCACCTTTCCCAGTTTCAAAAATAAGTAAAACTTCCAGTTCATGAGATAAACACCTCCTCTTTTTTACCACCAACATACGACGCAGCTTGCCTACTTTCAATAACCTCACATAAGACAAATTTCAGTCTGATCCATTAAGAATGCAATCAGTAATGTCTAAAGATATTTCATCACGGTCTAGTCCACCTGCAGAATGTAGCTTGAACATTTTTCTCCCAACACAAGTCTTATTTTTTTTTGATAAGATGCAATCCTTAGATAATTACTTTGCATACTCTGCAGCAATAACCCACCAATACAAAATTTTCTAACATAAGCAAGGTAATATAACTGGAAAATGCGAGTTCATGTAACAAAGACATGCACCAAGGCAGGAAGAGGGAGAACACCAGTTGGGGAAATTGAGTCGTACAAAAGTTTCATGCTCTGGCTCTTTCCTAAGAATATCAGCTGCTATAGGATCAGGTTGAACGCCATGCAGGTCATCGGATACACTATGGGAACGAATCATGCTTGAGGCAGCTATAGGCATCTGCTCTCCATTAGCATTTACATGGTCTGGTAGATTCTGAAACAGGGTTTCACAGTCAGGAGCCTGCTCGTTTAACTTTGAACTGCAATTCAGTAAAAGGTTGATTTTTTTTCTTTGACCAATTGTGAATACATAAGGGCAGGCTCCTTAAAAAGATACATAGTAGGACTAACAAGTAACACCTATTTAAGCAACAGGATAGACACATATACAAGCGAGAGAGAGAGAGAAAGAGAGTAAGGATTCACTTAAACAACAAGTATTCATAGTAAATATACAACTTACAGCATTTCCATTAGTATGAAGATATGTAGAGTCTAGTTTAGCATTACTAGTCATATTGTCTTCATCATCTGACCCTTTACACTTTCAAATGCACTTGCAACAGGAGACTTGGGAGAAGTGGGTCTAATGAGATGTCCTGGTCTCTTGGTTGAACACAAATGGCCAGCAGCTTGCCCTAAAACAAATCAACATGGTTTCTCAATGAGCAAACTCCATCTCACCAATAACATACAAACACAACTAATGGAAGAAATAAGCATATTATTTTGCACAGAAGCTTGTTTCACAGTAAGCAAGCTACCATGTAATGGAAGCCTTACCATGTGGAAGCTTGTTCCACATAAGTACTTTACTTTAAAAGAGAAGTAGAAAGTGAACCAATAATCTATTTACACTTGCTAAGCCATTCATAAGCTGAATAGAATCAGTCCCACCACAGGTAAGCGAATTAGGGAGTTCGTGCCAATTAGTCAACTACTCCACTCTCCTCAATATATAATATCACACTAGTCACAACAAATTAAATAACATAAACAATATTTTGACAAATTTCAGAAGATAAAAGGGAACACATAGTAGTAGCTAGTAAGGGACATCACATCAAATGGGCTACCCCAAAACTACAATGTCACCAAAGTATTTTGTAGCAGTTTTCTTATGCAGCATTTCCTACATCAACATGAAACACAAATAAGAAAATGCAGTGAATAAGAAACACTGCCACAAAGTGAAACTGTTAGTCAGCTGCCTTGCCAAGCATGCAAGTCAATAGGTGATAGCCTTGATAGCTTTCAAAAATGGCAGAACAAGATTGTCTTCACAAGTTCAATTCAGTCAAATAAGCATTTGAAATGATATCAGCATAGAAGTGATGTTACTACACAAAAACCAGAAGTCGCATTAATGGATTGCTTAATTTTTCTTGAATAAAAATAGAATAACTAACACCTTTAGCTCAATATTAAGAAAGTAAATATTAACACTATACATCAAAAAAAATTATGCTTTAACCTCGCCACCCATAAAAGAAAATGATTCTAAGATAAAGAATAAAGAATGCTAAAATTTGTTCACTGGTATTCCTTCAATTATCAGGTAGCATTCACTCAACTATTTCTTATAAATGTGATGCATCCATAAAGCTAGTAATAAGCAAAGCACCATCTCTGACCAAAAAAAAAGTAAAACACCATCTCATGCATCAAAAGTTATCAACTGTAATCAAACCATGACTTAGAGAAGTAGCTTTGAAACTCCTTAACAATCTCACAAATCTGCATATAAGAGATTCACCAATCAAAATTTCAAACCCCATCATAGCAGACAACCTTCTCCACACTGCATGAGCAAATGAACAACTAATAAACAAATGAAAAACATTTCCCAACTCCTCATAGCAAAGACTGCACCTGTTTGATGCACAAATCATATCTAATAGCCCATCTTGAGTAAGGAAGGTAGTACTACAAAGAAATAGAAGGCATGAAAATTACTCAGAAAAACGGAAAGAGTGAAAACAAGATATATTAATATTAGCTAACAAACCCTAGTTCTTTGGCTTTAGAAGATTTTCGTCCCTCAATATCTTCATCGCACAAGAGAAAATTCTGCGAAGAAACAATGTAAATCTCATGCCAATACATTACCACAAACCTAAGCAAAGAAAAGAGAGTTCCATGAAAAGACCTTTTTTTTGCTAATAGATCCAGTAACACGACCGCCATGTCATCAAGAAAGAGTTTTTACGATTTGGAAATGTCTTCCTCCAATTGGGGTATGAGATTTGTTGACTCCTTGCACTCCTTTGTTATGTCAGTAATCTTTGTTGAATCCTACAGTGGAACCCAAAGTAAGATACATGCGACTAGTCTAAAGTAGCAACCAGCCAAGCAAAGCACTTTCAAAACCAAAACTAACAGCCTGCCAATGCCTTTCCTTCTACCATATTTCAAACAAATCAACAGTTACACCATATAGCCAAACAATTAACCCTTATCATAAAAAACCACTTAAAAGGCAAACCCCTCAAATCACATATTAAAACAACAATCACACATCAAAACAAGATGGAATAATACAATATTTAAATACATAACCGAAAGATAATTTGTCAGCCACTTTAATGCAGAAGTCCAAAATTCATCTGTTATAAAAAAGAAAAAAAAACATTAATAAATTATGAATCAAATTTTTAAAAAACATACTGGTTTTCTAATTCTTAAGTGTTGAAATTTTTAGTTTTCTCTTAAACTCTCAAACCGTCCCGAAATGAGATGTCTTTTCCTACAAATTTATATATCTAAATAGTTCTTCTTCGTCCGTTTTCAAGGTGAACATAGTCACTGCTGGTGGACTGCACTGGACTAGAGTCGACTACCTGTTGCTCAATGGATCGCCGCTGCACTAGACTGGAGTTGCTGCTACTCGCTAGACTGCACTCTGGATCGCTGGTCGGCACTCTGGATCGCTGGTCGCTACTGATCGTTATCTGGGTATTCTTCATTGCTAATCACAATAAATATTAATGATCTTAGAGCATCTCCAACAATGCTATCTAAAATAACTATTCAAAATGTATTTAAATATTATATTATCTATTTTAGTTAACCACTTTTTCAAATTCACTCCAACAACGCTATTTATTTTAACTAACCACTTCAACTAACTTTCAATAATAAAATCTAAAATATTATGTAGTATGCCATGTCTATTGTAAGTATCAATGCAAGAACAAAAAAGAAGCACACAAAAGTGACAACGTGATTCTCACAATCTTCATTGATAAATTTCACCATGATTCTCACAATTGCTATGCAAAACCCAAATCAACAGTGACTTGTTTCAATTTTATAACCAAAACCAAATCCAAATCCAAATCTATAAACAAATGAAATCGGTTTCCAATCCACCAAAATCATTATCCCAAACTTTGAATTCGTCTAACACCTCTGGCCCAAACATAAATATCAATCAATTTCCAGTAAGGCAATGAATTGCACATGCAATGCCAAACGTTTCAAGCTTCTATTGAAATCCACCCAAAACTCCCCAGACACCTGTCCAAACTCAAATTTTGCTCAAAACTCGATCATGAAACACTAGTAGAACAAAACCCATATGACATAACAAGTTTTTGCAAAAAATCCCAGACCATAAAACACAATTTCAGCAAAAACCCACATACCCAGCAGATCAAGAAACGGTACAAAAAAACTAATTCCTCTTCAGATAACAAAAATTCGTAGCAAACAACAAAAAAATGTCAAACATTAAAGTGAGTAGAATTTAACAAATCCACAAACAAAAGGATAAGACAAAATCCACAACAAACATACCAACACATGAAAATAAATTACCCAAAAAACAAACCAATAATCTACTTTTTTGCTAAAAAAATTAGAAAAATCACAGATCAAATTGGTACATGAGCTTCGGCTTGATCTCTGAGTTGAATCAAAGATCGAAAATCAAGGATTGTTGGGGGTTTCTAGGTTGGGGAGGGGCTTTCGGGTGGGGGTGTTTTCTGGGTTGGGGAGGGGCGAAGGGGGTTTCTAGGTTGCTGGCGATGGCGGTGTCCTGGCGTTGAGGACTGGTGTGGCTTGTGGCTTCGACAACTAGTAGAGAGAGGCAGGTTCTTCGAGTTCAATCAATGGAGAGGCAGGGAGAGGCAAGTGGAGCTTCTGTGATTTGGAGCTTCGGTGAGTGTGTGTGTGTGTGTGTGTGTGTGTGTGTGTGTGAGAGAGAGAGAGAGAGAGAGAGAGAGAGAGAGAGAGAGATCGTGGTGAGGAACTTGGATAGCGAGTGAAATGGAAGCTAGCTACAGGGAGTGAAATGGAGGCTATGGAAAATAGAGAGCGGGGATAACTAGTCCGTTGGATGGAAATTTTAGGGAATTACCTTTTTTCGAAGTTTTTAAAAAATGTCGTCATTACTATTTTAAATTTAATTTAAAATTACAAAAATTATATTTTGCGACAAATATAAAAATGTCACAAAATAAAAATTTTATTTAATACAAAAATAAAATTTATCTTTTGCAACGAATTGATAAAAATGTCGCTAATTAATATTAATATTTTATTTTACTTTAATAACAAAAATTTATATTCTGCGACGAAAAATTTAAACATCGCGAATTATATATTTTGACTTTATTTTTTATTTTAATTTTAGATTACTTATTTTTGCAATGAATAAAAACTATGTGCGACAAAAAAAATTTTGTTGTAAAACATCTTCAATTCCCACCATTTCTCTCGCCAAAAAATATTGGGAGGGAATCACTTTTTCCCGACATTTTTTAAAAAGCATCACCATTAATATTTTAAGTCTAATTTAAAATTATAAAAATTACATTCTGCGACGAATATAAAAATGTCATAAAATAATAATTTTATTTAATACAAAAATAAAATTTATCATCTGTGAAGAATTGATAAAAATGTCGCTAATTAATATTAATATTTCATTTTATTTTAGTAACTAAAATTTTTATTTTATGACGAAAAATTTAAACGTCGTAAATTATATATTTTGAATTTATTTTTTATTTTAATTTTAAATTATTTATTTTTGTGATCTACGACAAAAAAAAAAATTTGTCGTAAAAAATCTTTAATTCCCATCATTTCTTGAGACAAAAAATTTAAACGCCACCATTAATATTTTAAGTCTAATTTAAAATTACAAAAATTACATTCTGCGACGAATATAAAAACGTCGCGAAATAATAATTTTATTTAATACAAAAATAAAATTTATCTTCTGCGACGAATTGATAAAAACGTCGCTAATTAATATTAATATTTATTTTACTTTAATAACTAAAATTTATATTCTGTGACAAAAAATTTAAAGGTCGCGAATTATATATTTTGACTTTATTTTTTATTTTAGTTTTAGATTATTTATTTTTTGCGAGGAATTCAAACAGTTGGCGACAAAAAATATTTTGTTGTAAAATATCTTTAATTCCTGCCATTTCTCGCGCCAAAAAAAGTTGGAAGGGGTCCACCTTTTTGCAACATTTTTTTAAAAACATCGCAAAAAAATTGTCAAAAAAGAAATTTGTGACAAAATTTTGAAATCATCGCGGATAATACACTTTTTGCGACAAATTAAAATTCGTCACAAAAAATAATTATTGTTGTAGTAGTAGAGTCACCCTTGGACCAAGGTTGTCATGGACCTAGAGTCGTAGCCAATAATTTTATTCTGAGTGCACACATACATACATATTCTACTTTTATTTCTCTCAAATAATTAAAATAAAAAAACACATGTACATTTATTAAATCACATTTGACATAAGAAGTCCATTCAACATAAAAGAACCAAAAAAAAAAAGTTATTCAAAATAAAAAGGCTAGTCAATATTATTGTAAAAAAAGTGGGGCTAATTGTCGTTGTACGATAAAAAATCTATTATGCAAGTACTAACTATCCATTAGTTTACGCACCGGATTTTTTTTACAATCTTCAAATTTTCAATTTATTTGATACACTATCTACTAAACATTATCATTAATATATTGGATATGATTTTCTAAACATAGGCTTCTCAATTTTTCTATACTAGTTGATTCCTATTAAAAGTCATATTTTGGTGGCTTTCTATGTTTTCAAATTAGTCAAAGGATCGGCCCTGCCCTAGGGTTGAATTCCTCTATATGTTCCATTGGGAGCATGGCAAGCCTCCAACGGCCTCTTCTAGGAAATTCAGGGGCCATCATTTGTCCATTTCTTCCCTTAGAATTCCTTCATGTGAAGAAATTAGGGAACATTTCGATAGGTTCCCATCGAACACCATGTTACAATAATTTTGGTATGGTGGGTCTAGTCTTTCATTAGTGGTGGTCTCTGATTTCTATAGGGAAGAACCACAGGATTGATGTTTCCTTCTACTACCATTTGATTTTTAATTACGATAATTGGTTCTTACATCAGTATCTGGACATTCATTAACTCATGCATGACATTAACTAAGTCTGGTCAAATGCCATAATTGGGATTGTGCAAAACTTGCTTCTATTTTTGCATAAATTCTTGCATTTACAACTACTATCTTGGCAATTTCCTAAATTTGCAGATTTCAATGGGTTGGTACTCGAATTTGTTTCATAATTGCCATTGTTTTGCGCTAATTCCACAGTTTAGTTGGTGTCAAACACAATCTTATCTTATTTTCTTGTTTTATCCATTTTTTTCATGATCCAAAGTTAGTAATGTTATCCAAGCGGGAATGCCAAAAGATTGTTGCTCCAAAATCTATTGTGATCAATAGAAGAATCACAATCGACAGATAATTTTTAGCCCATTGTTTGTGAATGGTTCAAATGCCTTATTTTAAGAATTCTTTGGATAAATTTAATCATATGTCAGTGTTATATTATTTGCTCCCTATTTTTTTTCCTATGTTAGCCGCAATAGTTTTACAATATGATTACTTGTACTTGATTTATTAATTGAAAAATATTTTTTGTCGCTATTTTAGTGACCTCATCTAATGACATAATGAATCATAGTCATTGAATTTAAAATGGGTCCCAAATAAGTTATCAAATAAGATCACTAGATAAGGTCTATGTTACTGTACTATTAATTATTATCATTAGATTAAAAGTAAAACCAATTTAATATTAGTTGTTCCCCTTGTTTAGCTTGCTTTTTTTTTTTTTGGCATCTTACACTGTTTGTTTTCAAAAAAATAAAAATAAAAATAAAAATAAAGGTATATATACATATTCAACAAAGCACGATGTAATGCTAGGGATATAAGGAAACATACTCTCATATTGAAACCAAATCTTGTAAAAAAAAATAAAAACTAAATTTTTTGGTAAAATTATTGGGACACTTGATGATGAATAGATGTTATTTTTTTCCCCAAAGACTTTTAACAAATATTGATCTTCCTCTTTTCTTTGTTAACAGTAGGAAACTATAGATTCATAATAAAATTAGTCTTATGATTAATATGATATTGAAGTTTTCTTTATATTTAATAAACAGTTTCGCTAAGCATTCACATGAGGTTAGGATGTATGTGGTTAAAGAAAAGAAAAAGTTACGATGTACAGATTTTACAGTGTAAAGATAAATACGTGTCAAGAAAAATGTAAATCAAATAAAAAAGAAAATCCTAATTTAAGAAACGGAGAGGAGAGGACGTGTTCCATGGGTCTAGGAAGCACGAGCAAATATTCATTATAATGGTAATATCAAGTAACAATATTTACGTGGTATTTTACCAACCAGTATCAAAACAGACTTACAGAAAAAATTGTTTTGGTCTTGTTTTGGCAGATCATTCTCTCTCTCTCTCACACACACACAGAGTCACTTGCTCAATCACACTCACACAACACACACATACACCGAAGAGCATAAATATATCCATAGCCCAGGAATATATCTGTTTTTCCAAAGAAAATGAACAGAACTGATCACCCCACATGCATGGGAGGAAGTCTGCCATTGGGCGAACAATTTCAGGCTGCAGGATAGGTAACTTATGATGAGAATTAATGCTAAGGATTTGTAGAAGAACTGGAGAAGTGAGCATAACACTTAAAAGAAAGAAGTGAGCATAACTAAAGTAAGCAACTAGACAAGACAGTATGAGTAAATAATATAATAATGAGCATTATTAGACAAGACATAGTCTAATAATGCTGTTTTGATTTTAACTCTTATACTTTTTTATTTGAAAGTCATCACGCTTAATATGTTTATAAATTAGATAAACTTTTTAAATTACAATAACATTACTCATAATATAATCTTTTCGGCAGCACGGAGGTGAGGGTTTTTGAGTAATTAAACTAATAAATAAATAATTATCAACCAGTACTTGAGTAGTATAACATAAAATTAATACTATTAAGATATAAATTGAGGACATAATGTAGTAAAGTCATTAGAATGATATTAAAGTGCATTTAATACTAAGACTTACTAATAATTTAACGCTCACAATCATTATGTGCACAAATTATATCTCGCACATTGCTCATAATAATATAAAGCCCCAAAAGAACTAAATAAGACTTGATGGTTATTGGAGCTCAGTAAATAAGTTTGCTACTTCCAGTAATGCCGCACTTCACGAGAAAGAGTAATAAGATTCCCACCAAATTTAATACACTAACTTACTAACCTAATTCATAGTCCCAAAGGACCTTAGAGTGATGGGCAAAGTCACCCTCGGACCAAGGTTATCATGGACCTAGAGTTGTAGGGTGGCTCAAGATAATTTGAGATCTAAAGTGACAACACTAAATATAATTTTTTTTTCTTTTTTCAATATTAATTTTAAAAAAATAATCTATTTTAAATTTATTATGTGTGTGTGGGAGAGAGAGAGAGAGAGAGAGACATAAGAATGACATGTTAATTTTGTCGAGAAATATGATTTATCTTTTGTTTTTGTTTTTTATTGGAGAAAAAATTTAATTTCAACTTTATTTTATATATTTAATTTTTTACTTATTTTTGCACAGAGAGAGAGTGTGTAGAAGAAAATATGAGTTTACTCTTGAGTGCTTTTTATTTTTCAACTTATAATTTTTAAGTTTCTAATGTTATAGATTGGATCATTGACCCAAATTATTATAATAAAATTTTTTATTGTATTTAATTTTTTGGGGCTCTTTTTTTGAGGGTTTAAAATTTAATGAATTTAAATTTCTCCTAAAAAATAATTTACCTAGAAGTATGAGACTTTCTAAAAATTTGTGGCTAATGCCCAAATTTTTTTTTAGTACTATTGAGCCACCCTGGTGTACACATACATACCTACTCTACTTTTATTATTATTATTATTATTAATTAGAAGTAGATCCCATTAAATTGGGGACTCATATAACATTACTAATTTTCAAAATTACATAATTTCGATAAAAAATAGAAAATTCCGGCCAGAAACACCAACAAATTTGGCCAGTGAAAATTAAAATTTGGATTGTCGATGAATCATGTCATGTCTGATTTTATCAAAGTAGTGTTGTCTCAAAATTTTCTCAACCCATTTCTTATTTTATTTAAAATCAAGTGTTGCCTAATTTGGGTCATGTAAAAGACTTTTTTTTTCCATAAGTAAGAATTTTCATTAACCAAAAATAAAAATATATATACTGTATGAGTTAAAGATACTTACAAGCTACCAAAAAAAACTATACGTGTAAAGTTGGATGATATAGATGACTTGATATTCCCAAAAAACAAAAAACATTCAATGATCGACATAAAAAGAAAACAGCCAAACCCAAAGACAATCAAAAGACTGTTTAATAGCTAATTAATGTCGACCAATATTATAATATCTTTGACAGGTTTATCGGATACAATCAACTCTAGTCGAATTCAAGATAACTTAATTTTGTTATTATCATATTAATAATAAATCAACTGCTAACCTCACTATGACTCAACTTAAACTTGTTGAGTCTGCATGGATTTAATGTTGAGTTTGCAAGTTATGTGTAGAATTCGGAGGCCGATTCGGAAGCAAGAAAGTTGACAATAAAGTTGCCATACTACCCAAGAGAGCTCACGCATGAGGAAGATTATAAAACAAAAACTTACATTCTACCTGTTTGCTTAAATTTTTTCGAGTAAAACAGTGGTTCAACGCACATTCATGTCCCACAAGTGCAAATTGTGTCTACCTCATTTTTTAAAACCACTCACAAGTGGCCAAGAAAGAAGCTGGATTCAGAGATTCAGTCCAAATCAAAACACAGAAGATAAGGCACAGTTCTTGAGCGGCCCAGAACTTTCTGATTGATGGACTCTTTTGTCGCCGAGTAATAGTTGTGTCAAATATCAATGGAGAAACATCATTCCCCCCC